ATCCTGGTTGTTTGCTTCCCAACTATCTTCAGGCAACAATTCTGCATCCAGGTCATCATTTTCGTCCAGGGTGATCTCATCGATGGGTCTCTTCGGGAATAGTGCCCTGGGCTTCAGACGACTTACGTGCACCCAGGGGTTCACGCGATACCCAGTTCCGTCGATCTTCAACTTCACCCTGAAATCATCATGTACTTCGTCAATTCTGAAAGGACCATGCCACAGGTGTGCCAACTTGCGACTCAGCCCTGGCTGCACTTTGGGTATATACAGCCACACTGCGTCGCCCCTTTCGAATCCAGACTTTAAACGTTCTGAAAGCTCTCTCCACTTTTGAGTCTGACCTTCTGATCTCAGGCGCTTCGCCTTCTTCTGCAAGTCCTTGGCACACGCTCGTGCGTAACTGTAGTCACGTTGGAATTTTCTCCTCCATTCGTATGCGGCCCGTTCTGGAAGGCTGGACGGCTTAGGCCCTAACATTGAAGATACGGTGCCCTGGGCATCCTAGCCATGGACTAGGTAGAATGGCGTATCCAGGCGGGTTGCGTCAAATGATGTGTTCAGGGCGAACATCAATCGCTCGGCATGATCATCCCAATCTGATTGGTCTGCCTCAGCAACATACGCTCGAACACTCCGGATAACGGTCTGAACAGAACGTTCTTGTTGTCCATTCGCCTGGGGTCGGTAACTCAGGGTGGATCTCTGACGGCTGCCCAGGAGTTCCCTGAATCGAGTGAAAACCTCACTCATGAATCTTGGATCCTGATCGTGGCGGATCATTTCTGAAGCACCAAACATTCTGAACACCCGTTCCTCATATGCCTCGGCTACATCCTGGGCTGTCGTGGAAGACATCGGTTTGCACATCACGAATCCTGAGAACATATCCTGGAATAAGAGCAGGAAAGTATTTCCCCGCTCCGATCTCGGCATGTGTGTCACGAAATCCATCGAGACTACCTCAAATGGTCGTCGTGGTTCGATGTTTCCAGGAGACGGACCAGGGTTAGATGGATGTCCTTTACCACTCGCACAATCCACACACTCCTTTACATGTCGTTCCACATCGGCATACATCCCAGGTCAATAGAACTCAGAGCGCAATTTTTCGTGAGCCCGCTTGATGCCCTGGTGTCCACCCTGAAAATCCTCGTGGGTATAATGTAAGATGTCCTCTCTCAGGGTGATGGGTACTACCAGTCGTAATTCATCCTGGGCATCTCGGGGTCTACCTCGGGTGGACTGAGCTAACCGATACGGCACGCCGCGAGCATCCAGGGCGAACAAGTTTTGGCGATCTTCCGCAACCGGTGTAAAGTGAAACGATCGATTTCTCCATTCAGGAAATCTCTTAAGTCGCACAGATATTCATCTTGTTCCTGGTGCACCTTAATCCGCCGCCACCTTTCTCGTTGGTAACCCAAAGGATCGAGGGGCTCTGATGACACTTGTTGGTCTCGGACATTAGCCCGTGTCACGGCAACCAAGATTTTGGCTGCACGTGGCAGTGGAGCTGCCATGACATCCAGGGCAGGGGGCATCCAGGATTGTCTGGGCACCCTTCTTCATCCTGGGTGACAACGAACCCTGAATGACCAGTCACCAAGTGAATCTCAGCTGACTTCATCAACTTCTCTTGAATCTTGGACACTCGCTCCAGGTGTTGACGTTCTCCATCTTCTTGGACACTCCAGGATCTCCCAAGCAACAGTGTCTTGGAAGTCAGGTAATCCGCTGCCTGGTTGAAATCCCGCTTGACGTGTACCAGTCTTACTGAATCGAACTTTGCTTTCAATGCTTCACAACTGGCCAATCGTCTTTGCAGGTTAGGCTGATTACAATTGATCAGACCCTGCACTTGCTGGATGACGATTCGTGAATCACCGACAGCGATCAAGTCTCTGACGCCCATGGCTTGTGTCATGGTTAAACCATTCAGGAGTCCACAGTACTCGGCGTCATTCACAGTGACATCCTCCAGGATGAAACCCTGTGCATCCAGGATTTTCCATCCAGGGAGTTCCCACAAAATACAACCACAGCTACCTTGCCGGGTAAACGTCTTCGCAGCGCCATCGAACAATGCCCTGGAAAGTATTCTCCAACATCTTTACACTGATTATTGGCGGCGGTTTCGCACGCCCCTTGGCAGGAATGAGTTCCTCGGCGACTTCGTCTAAATGCTCTTGAGGTGTGATACCGGCGCCCAGGATGGCAGCTAATCCATCTTCATCTCGCTGGATCTTCCTGACATCTAAATTCCACTGGGAAAGTAGAACACCCCAGGGTACACATCTCCCATCTGCCGTCTTGGATTTCATGATCCACTTCAGAACCGAGTGTCTAGTGTACACGATGAGAGGACAACCCTGAATGAGTGTTCTGAACACCTGTAGCAGCCTCAACACGGCGATGGTCTCCTTTTCTGCGATGTGGTATCTCAACTCCGCGTCGTGGAGAACACGCCCCGTAAAGCGCACTGGCTGGATCAAACCATCATTTTCTTGACCCAGGAACGCACAGGCAGCCCATTGATTTGCATGGGGTATAATAACGAATGGTTTGTTCCTGTCAAGGTGCCTCAATACTGGGGTCGACACGATCTTGTGTTTCAGGAGTTCGAACGCCTGCTTTGCCCTGAATAGATCTCGCCCTGAACGTACTTGGCCATCCGAGAGTTCATACAGGGAGGCTGCAATCACAGGATAGTCTTCGATGAATTTGTGATAATAATTCAGGCTGCCCAAGAAAGATTGCACTCCCTTCATTGCGGTTGGGAACGGTAAATCCTGAACACCCTTAGCGATCTTCAGTGTTGCCCTGATTCCTTCAGCGCTAATCTCATGTGACAAATACGGGATAGACAATTTCCCGAACTCGCTCTTCGGCAGACTTACTGAAATATTCCAATACCGCAGCCTATATAGCAAAGCATCCAAGTCAGCGCACGATGCATCTCAAGTTGGTGCGCCATGTGCGATATCATCGATATAAGAACTGCGCTCTAATACAGGTGACATCTGGGTTGGAGCAGGGATGTTCCTTTTGAACACTGTCATTTCAACGACCGAGGGACATGGTCGGCTTCACAACTGGTGCACCCTGGAGTGCCACACCCTGGAGGTCCATCATCCTGGGGGTCCAGATTCAGGTGATCCAAAACTTCTTGGTCTACTTCCGCCTCCTCTTCTGGTGGCAGACGCACGAATCCCCACAGGCAATTATTGATCACTTGCTGGTAAATCAGAGGTGCATTTTAGACCAAACGGCATTCGAATCCACTGGAAATGTCCGAACGGACATACGAAAGCTGAAATCAACTTGGCCCTTTCGGTCATCTTGGATTGCCCAGAAACCACTGACCATATCCAGGCTCAAGAACCAGAGTGCTTTCTCAAAACCAACTAACAGGTCGTCGATGAGAG